CCGATGGTGTTATGAGTGTAATAAAATGCCCAGCCCAGAATTCATTTCTACACACAAACACAGCCCGCCTCAGTGCAGGGCTTGCACAAATAAAATTGACTCATGTCAAATGTAACGTTACATTAAATGTAGTGAACATGACCATGACTCAGTTGTACCCACAAACACTACACACCACATGTCCCACGGTTTCTGTAAAAATAAACCAACACTCATAACGTTACAGTCAGCTCAGGCCGACTGTGTTTTCAGTGCAGTGAATGTGCCTGCTGTCCCGCGCCCATATTCACTCACAGACATGATAAGCCCCACGGGTTCCCCACGCTCTCACTCAGCAGACTGCTATAAGGGAATCGAGTGCGGCAAGGCTGTCCGGCCCGCCTCAAACACTGCAAGCACACACAATCTAAAGACACGAGAGGCTGACCGGTTGATTGTTTGTTCACTTTAATTTGCGACATTGTGGCCTGTAGGGACACTCGAGCTGTGTATCACCAACAATGATACGCATCGATACGCATCATGATATGGATCAATTTGGAATTTAAATTTATTTTGAGCCCAGTTTAGGTAACAGTGTTGTAACAGTTTCGATAATTGAAAACCAATTTAGTTTTTGTCATAAAAACTGAGTTAAATAAATAAAAATGCTGAGAATGGCTCTTCCTTCTGCTTCTGCCTCAATCTCTGAAATGACAATTATAGTGACACTGAAGCATGTCTACACTGCTCAATGACTACACAAAACTTAAAACATTTCAGAAAAGCAAAAACGGTAACAACTTAATTTTAACTTAGTTTTCTCAACACCTAGTATTTAGCAATTTGGTCTTAAGTGTTGAAATTTGCACCAAACAAAGTAATTTCTTCTATGTTGAAATCATTTTAAATGTTTACATTTTCAGATTTTTAGGCAGAAACAACAATTGATTGACATGCTCAGGGTGAAGAGAGTGAAAGCAGAATATCTCGCTTAACTTCATCATACAACCACAAATTGCAGTTTCTGTTACAGTAAAAAGCGCTAATGCTTATAACCATAACCAACTGTGTTTAGAGGATACTTACCAAAACAGAAATTGTTGACATAATTTTGTCTGTCAAAGCGATATAATCTCGCGAGCTGTATGCGAGGCAGCTTTTCTCTAGTCTAGTGTATATGCACGCAGAGAAAACCAACTCTCAGAGAGCGCACGAGTCCTGAACAGTTTAAAATCCTTTGAATGTTTAAACTGGTAAGACTTAAAGACGCACAAACTTTAGTCATTATGCAATGCTTTAGTAAACTTTAGTCACGATGCAATGCTGACCCGATTTAAGCAAGTGAATATTCCGTCATGTCCCGACTCCTAGACGCGAGCGTGTAGTTTCACCGGTTGCAGTGCTGGACGCTTGCCTTGAGCAGCCGTTTGAGAGACGAGAGACGAGACGCAGCACCATTGAACTCACGCTGTTTGTGAAACTGCGTCTTGCAGAACGTTTTCAAACTACTGATTTGACTTTATAATTTGTGTGGATTTATTTTCTAATACAAAATACATGCTAAAGTGAATCAATATGTGCTATGATTTACTTTAGCATGTATATAATAATCAAAATTATGAGCAATACCCGCACCGAAATTCGAGCCCTGAATTGGCTTCATTCAAAAGCACAACGGTATCCATAGGGCAGGTGCTGTATCGATACGCGCATCGCCAGGAGCTCATGACGATATATCGTTGTATCGATATTTTGAGCACAGCCCTAAGGGACACTAGACGTGAAAGTTACAGGTCGAGCGCCACTAGTGGCCAAATGTTCCGCAGTGTGGCTTTAAGATATATTCGATATGTTTTTATGTTCGCCTGTTTACGCATGTCATATTGGGGTATTTATGATTTTATTGTAGTATTTAACTATAAATGCTTGTAATTATGCAATAGGATGTAACTTGGCAGTCCTGACCTTTTTACCTGTCTTTCTTGGTACTGTTTTAATCCGCTCGAGCTAACTGATTTGATCATGTATGGGAGATTACAGTAAAATGCGTGATTCTATGTGTACCAGCTTTCTTGAGCCGAACTTTTAATGTCGCCATAAACTATGCAGATGAGCAGCCTTGACAGGACAAAGATAGTCTTTTCCCACTTGAATATTTCTAAGGTGATTGGTCATTCACCTCAAAGGTTGTGTGAACTGCATTGCCTGGACACGATTGGGTCACTTGAAGGAGTTTTTCGGTTCCTTGCCACTGTTGCCTTTGGCTTGCTCAGTTGGGGATATTCAAATGAATTAACAAATCAGTAATACCATTGATCAGCTCTAACAAACATGCAACATCGGAGGGTGAGCTGGCCTCTGGAAATGATGACTTGGCTGCGTTATCTCCCTCTGGGAGTGTAATGTTGCCCAAGCAAGATCCAGAAATATCAGCTATGCTGAAACGGGCCGCCCAGGCTGCCGGGCTCGAGTGGAACCCTCCACATTGTCCCATTCAGTCTCGGTTGGATCATTGATATCTCAGGGTGGGCCGCACTTGAAAGACAGTTCTCTGCCGCCCCAGTGCTTTTCTTTCCCAAGGTGCATGGAGAGCTGACCAGGTTGTGTCCACCTCAGTGGTTCAGGAGTGCCATTGTTGGCTCAGCCTGGTTAATATAGCGGATGCGGACAAGGTTCGCTTCCTGGTCTCTCGAATGGGCAGGGCTGGTCGGCGTCGCAGCGACTGCATCCAACAGTTCTCTGCTGCCCAAGGGCAGACGGAGGCCATCCAGCACATCCTGCCCTGGTGGCCTGCTGCTGCCTCCACTCCTCTGCCTGCATGTCGCAGAGGGCTATACAGTATACAGCAGCCTCTCCAACCAGGCCTCAGCTTGGAGTCGGCCGCAGTAGAGATGCAAAGCCCGCTCCAGGCACTGCCAAGCCAGATGGCAAGCTACAGCGAAACTATTCCGGAGCAGGCCGCTCAAAGATGGAAGAGGATGCTCCTGGAGTTAGTCACTGATCCACTCCCTCCCCCCGGATGAGGGCCGGAGGCAGTCTTTGTCTGTGTGTGTGTCTGTTCCATCGCTGGCTCCCAAAAGAAGGGGAGCAAGTGGTACCCACACTTCAAAGAAAGAGCAAATTCCTCTGTTCCATAATTGAGGCTGAATCATAAGACACCATAGAGGATTGTACATTTACGATTGTGTTTCAGATGCTTTCTATTTTCTCATCAAAGTAATTCAAAAAATCATTACTACTATACTGTAAGCATGCGTAGCACCAGGGTGCTTTAGTTTTTTCTCTAACCTTCAATCTAATTGGTGCTACAATATCTAATGTACTATAGAAAATGGTGCTCAAACTGCTAGTCATTTAGTTCATCTGTTTGTTTGGGTTCACTTAGCAGGTGAGATAGATCAGGTAAGCTATTTGAGAATCTGTCTATTGTGGTTGGAAGGATTGTTCTGCCTGGTCGATAACGTGGTGCAACATGACAAATTTCAGCAGTACAGGGGTCGGACAATGAAACTGAAACACTGGCCAATGTTGGAGGTTTCACATCTATATGCCTGGCAGCCAATCTTCAGAGTGAAGGACGGGTGGATCAGTGATGGTTTGAGCTCCAATATCATGACAATCCTGATTGTATTTGATGGACACGACACTGCCGAGGACTACCAAACCCTTCTGGAGGATCATGAGCACCTGATGCTCAAACCGTGTATCAGTATGATCATGCACCAACACACACAGCAAGACTTGTGACAGAAGGGTTTGATGAAGATGAAAGTGACGTTGAACATCTCCCATGGTCTGACAGTCACCAGATCTGAATATTATTGAGGTGTTTTGGAGGAGCGAGTCCACCAGAATCATATAGTGACCTGGACACTGTTCTGGAAGAGGAACGGCTCATAATCCCTCTGGTCACTGTGAAGGACTTCTATCTGTCAATTGGTGCTGTATTTGGATGCAAAATGAGGCCCTCACCATTCTAACAAATTATTGTGTAGTAAAACCAGGTGTTTCAGTTTTTTTGTCCAACCCCTGTACATATTATGCAAGTTACCATGTAATGATCAGTGAGATCGTCACTTTGCGGTATAATATCTATATCAGTTGGATTGGTTCCATATGATATAATTAAATCTAGTGTATGATTTAGACAATGAGTGGGACCACTGACGTTTTGCTTGACCCCAAAAGAGTTTAATAAATCTTTAAACACAGCCTCTAAAGCATCATTTGTATTATACATGTATGTTAAAATCTCCAACAATTATTGCTTTATCAACATTGACCAATAGATCTGAGAGAAAGTCTGCAAACTCTTTTAGGAATTCAGCATATGGCCCTGGAGGTCTATATACGGAAGCCAAGGCTAGAGATAATAGGGATTTCTTTCTTACATCTAAGAGCATAACATTTAGCACAAGTACTTCAAAGAATTAAACCTGTGACCTGTTTTCTGAGTAACATTAAGAATATCTCTATAGATTGTTGCAATACCACCACCACGGTGGAAGATATTTAAGAAGATGATAAGAAGATATTTTTGAAAGACAGTCCACTTCGCGAATACAGGCAGGATCCATCTTTGGAAAAAAGTCTCGAGCAGTCGAACTACGAACGCAGAGCCAAGTACGCCGGAGAGATGTGAACGAGCCAGACCTTGGCTCGACGTTCGTGGTTCGACTGCTCCTGCCTGTTTTCGCAAAGTGGACTTAGGGGTGTGCGATATTGACAAAAAATGATATCTCGATATTTTTGGGGATTTTGCCGATAACGATAATCAGACGATATTTTGCATTATTCAAAAATGTGTTTTTAAATGTCTTTTTTTACTAGCTCCGTTTTACATTGTCAATAGTATATTGATATATTACTAATTGAAACATTGTTGAAAAAAGTATTTATTTAAAACTGAAGCATTCAAGTAGAAACAACACAAATCACTGCTCTGCTATAAGGTGAACTGTGCAGAATGCAAGCAAATATGACATTAATAAAAGTATCTAATGCAAACTTATGTCAAAAACATCACTAGAAAATCTTTGTAAACAAATTACTCCCTTCTGTAAAATGTGCTATAGTCAAAAATACAAAAAACTAGCCCATTTATTCTCTCAATTAAATTACTGACTTAAAGTTCTGTCCAATATTGCACAAAAAGTAAACGGCTGTAACAGCTGTAAAATTAGAAACCCTTCAGATTTGTCAAATCTTGCACTAAAGAAAAAAATATACTGATTTAAAGACTAAAAGGTAAAATAGCCTTTATAATGTAAAAGTCACTTGAACAGAGGAAACAGGCTTTCAGCAGCTTGAACAATTTTTTGCCATTAACTGGGTTTCTTTGGATCTACATGCGTTTCAAGTTGTGTGATAAAAACACCAGCCTGTCCACAGCATCTGGCTTGAGAGCTGCACGGTGACATGTAACAATATTTCCTCCTGTGCTGAAAGCCCTCTCAGAAGGGCTGCTTGAGGCAGGGATGCATAGGTACTTTTTTGCTAGTTTCCCAAGTCTGGGGAAATTTATTTCTTGTGTTTTCCACCAGTCAAGTGGGTTTACATCACTGTCCACCTCTGGTATCATTAAGTAGCTCTGGATCTCCTTTTCTATAGCAATGTGCAGAGACTCGCCTCTGAATTCCTGTGGTTTCTTGAAATAACTGCCAAAAGACTTTTTGGTCTTTTTTGCTGGCTCAGAGGCGTCACCTGCTTCAGGTTCCACTGTTGTAGCCTGAGCAGCAGTTGATGGGCCTGGGGTAGGGCTGTCTTCCTCTGTCACCATAGCTAAGAGTTCTGCAGTCACTGCTGTCTCAATGGTTTTGATCCTGCCATCATTGTTATAGCGGTTTTTGAACCGTGGGTCAAGTGTGGATGCCAAACTCAACAACTCTTCCACACAGTCTTCAGAGTACTTTGTGTTCAGGTACTCCAAAATGGTTTGTTTGATTTTTTTGGTAAGCTCTGTGTCATCAGACTTCACCGCCAGAACTTCAGTGTTGAACAAGGACAACACAGGTTTTAAGTAAGAAACTGTTACAAGTTGCTCACCTGACAGAGCGTCAGTAAATTCTAGCAGAGGTCCAAGTGCTTTGCTTACTGCCTCCAGCACCTCAACATCTTGCCATGTTGGCACAAGGTGCCTGTGCTTTTTGTCTGCAGTTAAAACATGACGAATGGCTTTTTCTTGCTCAAGAAACCTCTCAATCATGCGCTGTCTTGAGCCCCATCTTGTTGGTGACTCTGTGATCAGTTTGTGTTGAGGAAGCTTAAGCTGCTCTTGTGCATCAGCAAGAGCTTTTTTCTTTTTCCAGCTGCTGGAAAAAGCAGCGACCATTTTCTTGCAAACTCCAATGGCTCTGTCTATTCTAGGGTCCCGCATGCTCCTCTCTGGAAAACATTTAAAATAAAACATCCATTGAACAGTCAAAGTGTGAAGGTATGAATGATACTTTATATTATTTTATATTACTGTTTATATACACTACCGGTCAAAAGTTTCAGATCGGTAAGATTTTTTATGTTTTTAAAAGAAGTCTCTTCTGCTCACCAAGGCTGCAATTATTTGATAAAAAAATACAACAACAAAAAAAAACAGTAATATTGTGAAATATTATTACAATTTAAAACAGCGGATTTCTATGTGAATATATATATAGTGAAGTGTAATTTATTCCTGTGATCAAAGCTGAATTTATCATCATTACTCCAGTCTTCAGTGATCCTTCATGATCCTTCAGAAATCATTCTAATATGATGATTTGATGCTCAAAAAACATTAATTATTATTTTCAATGTTGAAAACAGTTGTGTAATTTTTTTCAAAATTCTTTGATGAATAGAAAGTTCAAAAGAACAGTGTTTATTTAAAATAGAATCTTTTCTAACATTATAAATGTCTTTACTGTAACTTTTGATCAGTTTAACTCATCCGTGATGAATAAAAGTATTGATTATATTTCTTTCTCCCAAAAATAAAATTTAAATTCTTACTGACCCCAAACTTTTGAAGGGTAGAGTTGAATGTTACAAAAGCTTTAGATTTCAGATAAATGCTGTTCTTTTTTAGTTTCTATTAATCATAGCATCATGAAATAAAAATGTAAAAAACTGTTTTCAACACTGATAATAATCATAAATGTTTCTTGAGCATCAAATCATCATATTAGAATGATTTTTCAAGGAACATGTGACACTGAAGACTGGAGTAATGATGCTGTAAATTCAGCTTTGATCACAGGAATAAATTACACCTCACTATATATTCACATAGAAAACCGCGGTTTTAAATTGTAATAATATTTCAAAATATTACTGTTTTTTTGTATTTTTTATCAAATAATTGCAGCCTTAGTGAGCAGAAGAGACTTCTTTTAAAAACATAAAAAAATCTTACCGATCTGAAACTTTTGACCGGTAGTGTGTATACGTATATGTATATATCTATGTATGTATATATATATATATATATATATATATATATATATATATATATATATAAACTTTTATTTTATTCTTTTTATTTTTTATATTCCTGTCATTTTATTTGGCTATATTACAGTTTTAAAACAGCATTGCTTATTTTATTCTTATTTGTATTTCTAATAATTCCAAAAAATACAATTCTGTTTTATGCAAATTTTATTTCATAGAACCACCAAAATTGCTTACCAATGGCAATATGAAGCCTGTGGCCAAAACAAGGAAGCCGCTGCCAGTTGTTAATCCGCAGTGCACTGACAACGTTAGCCCCGCTGTCTGTTGTCATGCAAACCATGCGATCTTCGGGCAACGACCATGATGCCAGCGCATCCTTTAGACCTTGAGCAATTATGTCGCCTGTGTGGTCATCCGGAAAGTACGATGTCTGCAGACAGTAGCTTTGGAGTTGCCAAGTTTCATCAATGAAATGTGCCGTAAGGGAGAGGTATGGCTCTGACGTTCTGCTTGTCCACAAATCGGTTGTTGTGGCAAAATGTAAAACCTTCTGCACTTCATGCGCAAGAGTTTGGCGACATGATTCATACAATTTAGGTAGCGCTGTTTCACTGAAGTATTTTCGTCCAGGCAGTGTGTATCTTGGATCTAACGTCTTTAAAAGCTGTTTAAAACCATCTCTCTCAACCGCTTGAATTGGCACCATGTCTCTGGCAATGTAATTGGTGACCGCGTTTGTTATATCTTGCCATCTGTCGCTTTTTCTGTCGTAAGGAACTTTCTTGGTAAATGAATCGGCCAACGTTTGTTGCGTGTGTTTTTTTGGTTTTACCCTGTCAGCTGCAGGCGCGTCGTCTTCGGATGACTCGCGAAGCTTTTCATAATTCTCATATTCAGTGCGGTGGGTAGTTCGAAGATGATGAAAAAGATTGGTCGTCGAGCTGCTTTTTACTATCACCGATTTTCGGCACATTTTGCAGATCGGCGTCTTTTGACTAACATCTGACCTTTCAAAACCAAACCACCTCCATGCTAGTGATGACGAACCACGTCTAGGAATTAAATCTAGCGTGGATTGTGAGTTTGCTGGTGTTTGAATATCTTCTTCTCTCCCAGTTTCTTTGCTCATTTTAACTTCTGTCAAGCACCGCACGCTCTGAATGCACGTGTGTCACGTGTGCACCCTTGCGCGCCGTCAATTCGTGAACAATTGATGCAGCGTTTTGATTGGTTTCTGAACATGAGTGACATACTCGATAATATGATTTTGGATATCGTTTAAACAACAATCACGATATTATCGCAAACGATATATATCGCACACCCCTAAGTGGACTGTCTTTCAAAAATATCTTCTCATTAAACTGTCTGGACACTTAAAATGTTCTCAATGCTTCGGTTTGCATGTAGGGACCCTGATTATGCTAAAGTGTTAGTGTTGGGCTATTTAGAGCCTTGTTCCTGTTTGATACCGTTCAGGATCTCGGGAATCTGTGCAGTTACATCAAGAACATGAGCACCAGGAAAGCAGTGAGTGTGCACCTCTATGTAAAGACTGTTTCAGCACTAGCTTTATGATTGAGTCCCGAGGTGACCGTGGCACAGCGGCACGCCCTGTGATACAAAGAGATCACCCCGGCCTACTGCCAAACCCTCAGCGCATGTTCAGTCCCTTCATTTCTCCGGGCCAAACCACTCCTAAAACGAGGTCCACTAACACCAACTGAGGGGCCATGTACAAAGCGTATGGTTTAACGGAGGCCTGGGCAACCTTCGACTGCATTGGTATACGTTACCTTGAGTTGAAGGTTCACCCCTTGCTTTGAGCCACCGCAGCTCAGTAAACTGGTACTGTTCTGAAAAGACATCATTGTGACTATTGCGCTAAGCTTCCCTCACATTTCACAACCCGTCACCTCCTCCTTGGAGTCGCTTCATTCCACTATAAATTTCTTCCGGCCTGCTAAATCATGCCGCCAACGAGCCTCATGACAGAATGGCAAGGGAGAGTGGAGACTTCATCCCCTGGAAGTCCAGCTGGGCAGGGACCACTTCAGGGCCACATAGCTACATCTGTTGCCTCTCTGGACTCATCCTTCTGTGTTTTCTGTCTGAGTGGAGATCCGTTGGACAGACACTGGCTCTCAGCTGACCCCGGGGCCCTGCAGAAATGCGTTCCCCAGTGAGTCTTCTAAGAAGTGGCTATGTTATTCATTATCACTTGGCGCTGCTCAAGTTCAGTGATTTTCATCACACTCAGGTGTTGAGCAGAAATGCTCCAGAGCTTAGTGAACTTATCACACTCAAGTGTTGAGCAGAGATGCTCCTAAAGCTCATTGATCTTCACATAATATTGTTAGCAGTACTGGCCCAACCAGACCTAGTTCCTGCCATGCCTGAGCTGCTTCAGGTCAGTCCTGCTATGCCTGCAGTTCACGTCAGTCAAGGAACCTGAAACTGAACATGTCGTGCCTGTTGCACAAGAGACTGTTCTCGTCAAGCCAGCCACACAAGAACAAGGAACAAGACACAAAACCCACACCATGACATATGCAGGTAATGGGTTCAAACAGATACAGTTAATACTGGTAATGAGTTGAGAACAGGAGGGCTTCTTAAAGAGAAACTAACAGTTCTATGAAAGCCGTAATTATTACTGGTTGTTTTTGGTGATCAAATACTTATAAATAACAATAAAATGCAATACCTGCAAAAAAATTGGGCAGTGTATCAAATACTTGTTCTCCCCACTATGCCCCACTGCCATGCTTCGCTCGTTTGCAAGACATGACATCTCTCAAGGAAAAACTAGAATCACGCTTGCATGTTCGTACTTCTTGTTCCTAGCTCATTTTCTCATGGGTGAGCCAAATTCTCCAGGCGGGCAAAGCAGAGAAAGGGGATGTAACCTTTCCTCATTATGATGTAATAACGAGGAGATTCAAAATCAGCTCGTCTGAGCTGCAGAGAAGAGAAAGATAGCCAAAGCTCGGTTTACACCGATTAAGAGGGGGGCAAATACAGGCTAGGGGAACTAATATTAATGTTAAAAAACCTCAGAAAGTGAAAATTTCATTCCAGGGGACCTTTAAGAGTGCCCTTATTCTAACTGCACACCAAAAAACACTGTTCTCCTGTTGTCTCCTGAAAATAAGAAAATGCTTTCAGCGCATGGTGTCTGCCTCCATTATGTCTTTGGCAGAAGTCAGAGGATTCAAATGTGCTCATGAAGCTTGAAGCATTACTTTTCACACCATGTCCTGATTTTCTTGGCTGTGAAATGGAACACTGATCGTTTCCCTTATAAGAATCCACTTGCTTTCACCCCCACCAACCCCCTCCTTGGCTGAGTGGGATTTTTGCAATCTGTGTGGCTTTCACAGATACACAAGCGCACACGCACACACATACACACGCACCTTCTATACATTTCAGATGGAGTGAAACATAAAAATAACATATGATAACCTGTGTACCTTACATTTTTAATGTCTTATTTATAAGTTGCATCCCACATTGTTTATCTCTACGTTTACATCCATATGAGGCGCCACATAGGATTTAAATCAAACTTCGCTTATCAATACATACATAACACACGTGCATATACACCTATAAATTACATGTATAATATTGGATGTTCAAAATACATATATGAAATACACGTGAACACTATATGAAATCCATACCAATACATATTATTTTAGTAATGAATGCATATAAACTTGTGAATAACTTGCATATACATATAAACTTGACACATACATACACCTATAAATAAATACTCGCATACACATATAAACTTCCATGCATACACCTACACTCGCACATACATATAAACTTCCATGCAAATGACTTCCTTTTACACTGACAAGTTCACACACATCTACATATGAAATCACTCGCATACACATATATACACAACTAAACTTTAAAGCATGCATCCACATTTTATTTTGTATGTATGCATAAGTGTTTTATGGATGTGTATGCGCGCATCGGGTTTATATGTATGTGTGAGTGTTTATAGTGTACCAATTGACCTTGTCTTTGGCAAGTGGAACACACAAAACCCACTCGGAATATTTAAAGAAGCTACGAGAGCGTCTCCATGAAAGCTATGGATTGGCCGTTGAAAGTTCTCGCAAAATAAATGCAAAGAACAAAGCAAGGTTTGATTTAAAGGTCAGAGCAGCTGAACTGATTCCTGGTGACCGGGTCCTCGTGAGAAACTTGAGTTTCAGGGGGAAGCACAAACTTGCAGACCAATGGGAAAGGACTGTCCACGCTGTAGTCAAGATGATTTCAGATGGTCCAGTATACATGGTTAAGCCAGAAAAGAATGATGGTACAAATCATATCCTTCACAGGGATCTCTTGTTGCCTTGCAGGTTTTTGCCTGAGTCAGAAGAGTAGGTGCCTGAAACAAAACACACAGGTAACAGGAAACGTGGGATGAGAAAAACAGTAAACTAATACAGACATGCAGGAATGTGACTATATTGAGGAGCTGTCCAGTGATGAGGAAGGAAGTTGCCTTCAAATACCCACTCCTGAAATAGTCACAAGGAGTCCCTTTATTATATGAGTGGATGATGGGCCACTCACCTCACATGATATTTCTGTGAAGACGTGGAACCCATTGAACCCTCACGCAGCTGAGTTTATCTCCATGTATTTCAACTATTCCCAGATCAGAGTCTGTCCAGCCTGTGATTGAACCCCCACAATAAGATTCAGAAGCTGTTACTGGGGGCACACCGGTCACTCTGGTTTCAGAGGCTATTGAGACTGAACATTCCCCTGGTCATATTGTCATTGAAGTCCCAGAGGAGATTTTACCTGAGGCAGGGTTAGAATCCCTGTCACACAATAGATTTGTCACACAATTCAGTTGAGGCTGAATCTGTACCTCTCAGACGTTCAGGCCGGGAAAGAAGCCCACCAAAAACACTAGAATATGAGGAATTAGGAAAGCCCATAATTCTTGCCTTAATGCCATTTTCTTTTTTTGATTCCGAGGCATTCTCTCGGCCAGTCTTCCTGTTAATACGCAAGCAGGGACTCATGCAATTTAGAAGGGGAGAGTGTAACCCTTGACATTTATATCCTGTTTCAATATCTAGCTGTATTTCTTTAAAACTTGTTACTGCCCCTTTAAGAGATAGGGTAGTTCATGCAAGGAGTGAGTGCATGCACACTGAATGTGCACGGAGCACGGAGAAAAAACGCATGAGTAATTCTGCCTAAAATTAGCATTTATAGTATGACCTGAGTAGCTGATTTATTGTTTCATATATCAGTCCAGGAAGTTGAATTGAATCACTGTGGAAGAGAAGTCGATGAATACATGTTGCTTTGTGTGACCGTTTCTGATACATTCTGGTGAGTGTATTCTGCTTGTAACTAAATATTATGTTATCATTTGAGTAACCAGTCAGAATGTATTCATGTCAAGGAAAATTGTGTTACATTAATTGTATAGTTTGTTTTGAAGCCATTAAAAGGGCAGCTAAGTACAGCACCACAATGCTAGCTTTGCTAGTCACGGAGAGCACGAGGTGTACTATGCCCATGTATATTGTTTTCAAATGTCGAGTGAAATTGTTAAAACACATAAAATGTAACTGTAATATGATTTATGTTAACGTGTATTGGTAGTTCTCAATTTTCAGTTAGATGATTCAAAGCTGATTGTTATTTATGTAAT